TATATATAAATATATATATATATATAAAATTATATATAATTTTTTTTACCGCAAATGAACTCTGTCATTTCTGATAGTTGTTTAGGTCGTTTTTTAATGCTGTGCAATCTCCATCTAATTAGCTGATGCACAAGCTATTTTTTGGGCTGACAATAAATATCGCAGGAACTGTGTCAGCCTGAAGGGGTTAATTCGCATTCGCTCCATATTTAGGAACGAAGACACCTCGCCGTCATCGATGACGTTCAAGTCGCCCAAGTGCCGTCTTTGAGGATGCCGGGAATCGTTTCCTCGAGGCAAGACTGGTCGCCATTGAAAATCAACGTCTTTGATCGTATGAAAGCGTGATGCTAGTTCAGTGATGTATTGAGTTCACAGTTATATCAGTTTTCAAACCAAAGTGAAGTGCATTAGTTGTTAAACTGAAGTTCACTTGGGGTTCTTGTTACGATGCTGATAAATAATTGGTATAATTTTAGCAACTATTCATCATGGTTTTTATGTATTTGAAGAGACTTATTAAACCTGGAAAGCTCATTTTAAAAAAAACGTAAGGAATAACAAACGAATGAAACAAGCGAATTTAAATGAAGAGATTTTACAAGATGATCAATGTATCCAAACAATGTTCGATGCAACTGTGATAGTTTATAGACTTGCAAATCTGTAAACTGTGATAGTTTATGGATCATTAAATAATTCATCTCATTGTGATTATTAATTTTTTTACGCATGGTCAAATTGTTTTCGAGAGTTTCATTTTATAGCGTATATATACATATACATATATGAATAATTTCTTCGAGAAATTTCTTATTAATTTTGGTAAATATTGATAAGATAATTAGAAGTTTATAAGAAATCATTTTGCGTAATTCCCTGCTAAATAATGAATAATACGTTTATTATAACTGGAATCAATATTAGATATGTAATCAAAAATTATTTTGATAGAGAATTAAGCAATTTGTAAACATTTAAACAGCTCCCATTCTCTTTTTTTCTCTTGACTCTCATATTCCTACCTACATAGTATGAAATACTTCATTGTAAGCTTTGCAATATTTTAGAATTTTTCATGAAATATTATATCTCCAGGAAATCAAAGTTTTTCAAATATTTCTTAAAATGTTTCAATAAAGATATTTTTAATAATATTTGTACATATAATATTTGTACAACAGATATTTTTAGAATATTTTTGTGAAATATTTTATAATGTAGTATTTTACAATATTTTAAAATATTTTACAAATGTTTACGAAATATTTCTGAAATATTTAATTAAAATATAAAAAAAAAATGATTTACAAGAAATATTTCGTACTATACGGATAATTTGTAAAACTCTTTCAATTTTTTAATAGAATACAAAAATAAATTTGTAGATATTTATTGATATATGAAAATATATCTAATTATATTCAATAGAGTGTGCTAGTTATATTTGCTCATAGTTGGCATTATTCCATTATTAACATAGCAATTGCTTTATTCTTTATGTTTTTTATGTAATACGCTGCATAGAAATGTTATCATACTCATAAAGCTTTTTGTTGAAAATTTGAGGTATACTCGATTCAAGGAATGTGCTTTTTGTTCTTTATTAAATCTATAAAATTCAACAGAAGGACGCGTCGTAGGGTCAAGTCGAAATTCACGACCTTAAATCATTATCGCGATTATCAGCGGGTCGCTAATTTTGGCGCGATGCTTCTCCGCCGCCCTCGGCTGGCCTTAGTCCAGAGCTTGCGCGCAAGCTACTAAGAAAATAATTCACGATCGCCGCTAAGGTCAGCCGTCAGCGGGCTTTTAAGTCAGTCGGTCAGTCGAGCCTCGCGATTGATCGACCGTTGATCTGGAATATCATTATCTGTCATTAAAGGGAAGAAAAATAAAAGGGACGAGAGATGCCGGACACAAAGAAAAGAGTATGCATCGTCGGCAGCGGCAATTGGTAACTTTCCTTGTGCCAAGAATAATTAGTTGTAGAAATTAATTGCATAGATCGTTATTCCCCTGCTTTCTCCTTTTTCCTCCCGCCTTATGTTGATTTATTAGGCTGCATGTGCAGCCCAGCATTTGTTGTGAGTGCTTCATTCTAGAGATGAGCTAGGGCTACATATCTTCTTCAGGTAAGTTTATATAATCATAAAGTAGTGTTATAAATGATCGTGGAAAATAAATTGATAAATATAAGAAAAAATCAAGAGAGTTTTTTGATAATTAATATCAATGGGTTATATTATTTATATATTATAATCAATATTCAATATTTTCAATAAAACCATACTGTAAATAAATACAGCTATTTAATTAATATTATAATATTAAGAATTGAATGAGTAATATTATAATATAAAATGTTTTTTAATATAAAAAATTTACTAATGATAAAAAAATGATGTAAAAATATATAAAAGAAAAAAGTCTATATATATAGATAAAAAATATATTTCTTATTCTTTTAATATAATAATAAAAAAACGAATATGTTTATATATATATATAAGAAATATATTTTTTATCTTGTATCCAATTTTGAAAGACTGGATCACAATTTCGTTTGATCTAGTTTACGATGGTAAACACGCAGCAATGTAATTGTACTGTCTGCCTATTGTTCCAAAATTAACTCGGTGCATCATGACACGATTTTATGAGAATATACAGCTGCATCAATTTAATGAGAAGAACGTTATATGTATATTTACATATAAGATAATTTCATTTTAAAATCTCAATATAATTTCACTTTTTTTGTGTCTAACTAATTTAATTAAATTAGTGTATGTGTGTGTGTGTGTGTGTGTG